AGTGGGGGCGGGGCGGAGAGGGCCGGCAGCGGACGTCGAACGGCGGCCGCCAACGCATCCCCAGGGGCTTCCGCTGTGAGCGAGGGCGAGGGCGAGAGGATGGCGCCCCCAGTCGCCATTTTTTATGGCTTCCCCAAGAGCCCCGAGATTCCCAGCTGCCTCTCCGCACGCCGTATAACCGAGCAGGCGATCGCACGCGACCCCGAGTGCAGGCACCGGGCGCTGAAACCCATGTTTTAAAGAAGGGGAGGAACATGGACTCTCGTGTTCTCCACTTGGAGGAGGTCAATGGAAGTCAGCTTCGAACGGAATAAGAAACTAGGCTACCCCACAATGCGAAAAGCTGATAAATTGATACACCGAATTCGTCTTAAACGTGGAACATTAGAGATAACGTCTTCCCGGCAATTTTTCTCCGCTATCTCGAATTCGCAACAGAACGCGAAATTGATATTTTATGAAATTCAATTTCAGGAAATATCGCTTGGCGTGAAATAAATGTTTGCTCCTTGACACTTGGTTCTTCTTTGAGTATTTTTTTCGATAAAATCAATCTGAAAATACATTTTACTGTACCGTTTTCTTCAATGAAAACAGACAAACGAAATTGTGTTTATTCTCCTCCGTTCATTTTAAAAAGAACAGTATCTGGTGACTACCAGATTAGAGGGTTTCGGTTGACTTGCGGTATTCTTATAAAGAATGTTTCCTTTTATGTTGTAATTATATTTAATTTCATTTGAGCATTTATATTCTCTTCAACTGAGATATATATTGAACGACATTCATGACTATACAATTTTAGGAAAACTATATTTGGGAATAAAAAGTCTGTAATTTGCTTCTAGAAAACGGGAGGCTGAAACCCCAAGAATACTCCGAGTGCGCCACTGACACTGACAAGGGAGTACAGTGAAACCTTAACAAACGCCACCTCTATTATCGGGCACTTTTCCCTGAAATCGATCGATTTTCCTATAGGACATTTGTCAATATTCCTCTTTCGAGCGGTCACCTGACAAGCGGCTGCTCCCAAGCACTTTCGTAGATTGACCTTTATTAAGTAGTCACCTCATGCGATTTTGAACAGTATTATAATATGATGCGGTGGAGATTGTTGATTTAATCATTCTATGAAGGGACGTGACAGATTACTTCGAATACTTACAATCAATCTCTTCCTTCGTAGGGGGATTATTTTCATTTCATCTAACAACATGATTTAAATAAATATATCTTAATGAAACAATAGTGCGTACGATTCTCACACAATACAGCATTCCTATGTTATGCTCGAATCCGATCTAAAGACCATTCACTAATTTCTTCGTCAGACGGGCCCTCTATAAAGTTTCTACACAATGTGCATTGCATCTTGTAGTGTAGTTTGCATGTTTGATTCGGCATGGACAAAAGTGAGATTCTCTGACTAAGAGAGTGAGTAATATGTTTGGATATTAGCCGAGAGAGGCAAATAACCATAAATGCTTGTTTAAATTGACTTTATTGTTTTAAATTGTAATTTATGGTAACAAAAAATGTTCAAGAGACCATTCTTTAGCACATTTTGATTTCATTTATGTTCGGTAACATCAAAACATTTATTAAGCGGGCATCCCTATTATCGGCCATTTTTGTCGGAACCAACGATGACCGTTTAAGTCAGGTTTCACTACATGTAGATTCGAACGACCCTGGCGCTGATTGTGATTGAAAGGCGGCAGGAGAGCTCTCGAGCTCACCTGAGCCGCGGCGCTCGCCCACCGCTGCCGGAAGGCGCTTCCAGCCCTTTGTGGTGCTCGCCGCCCGCTCTTTGTCCCGCTCTCATTATTCCGAGCAGCCTCCGACGGCCGGCCGCTTTCTTCGCGCGGGGGGCTCCTTGGGATGTAATGCAACGCCCCCTGGAAACCGACGCGATAACGACGGCGAAGTGCGCGCCTCGCGAACAAGGACCAATTAACGGAGGCACGTAAAGCGGAGCAGCGCGCATCCTGCTCCCGCCCACGCTCCCAGACCACCGCCGCCGCCGCCGCCCGAGGCAAAACCGATCGCCCAAGCCCGTCACGGCCAGCCGGTCGCGCACCCGCACTCACGCTGCAACGGGGCTACACGACCACCGGCCACAATTCATTTCCTTGCGATTATTTCCCACAACATTTTTTACAAAATCTTTACTTTGACGATTCGTGTGCTTATAGGTCATATCAGAATATATCGCTCCGAACAGTTTCGGAGAAAAATTCCTTGGGGGGGGGGGGAGCATGCGCGCGCGCACGCGTGTGTAACCTGTAAAGCAAACATTTCGTAATTTGATATCCCCTCAGTTCGTTTCGTAATGAAATTAAAATGAACGTGTTTTCAGATAACCACTACCACAACATATGTTTATTTATCGGGAGACGTCCAAGAGAAATAAAAGTAAAATTCTTATGCGAAAACTACTTAAACAGCGACGAATTTAATAATTTACTAAAACGATTCGGATTAAACATGTGGCACTTTTCCCTCTAAGTAAAACCACTTCCTTTCGTTGATTTTCAAACTTCTATTGAAAGTGATTTCCTACACAGCTGGGGCCATCTCATGGACAGCAATCGCGTTCGGTAAAACGCCCCCACCACCCTCCCTCGGAGAAAGCAGACTTCGTCATTCACTGCGAGCGCTCGTTCCGCCCCCGCACGCCTCGCGCGCGTGCGGTCGAGGGATCGAAGTGGCCTCAAGCTGCTCCGCGAGACCGCTGATCGGGGAGGGCAGCTCTTCGATCCCACATGCCGCCCGCGCGCGCACACGACGCGCCGGGGACGCGCCCGCAAGCGCGCGGAGGCGAGTGCGTGGAGAGCTTTTCAAGTCCGCGGAGCCATCCGTCAAGCGGGGCCAGGGAGGCGGGCAGGGTCCTTGGATCGGCAGGGGAGATCTCGGGGAGAACAGGTGACGTCGGCAGCACATTCATAGAACCAGGAAGAGGAGGAAGAAAAGACAACGACATGGACGTAGGTGTGTATAAGGCACCGGGCGGTGCAAAGCTTCTCAACAACGCCTTCCTTGATCGAAAAGATAGCACGACCAAAGGACCGCTGAATAGCGGAGTACACGCATGACAAGACAGAAAAACACACACGAAAAACACGTTTGCGGAGATGTTGTGTTTAATGTTTTGTATTCGCTTTTAGGCGCAAAACATGCGCAGCTCAGAGCGCCCCCGCAAGCTACGTCAGTGGCAGAGCGCTGTTCCGCTCCGCACGGGGAACACGCCGGGGGCGGCCTTGACAGCGGGGAGCACTTGCGCAAGCGCAATGAAAAAATATGGCCCGCATTATTTCCAGCGGCGCGGCGCGGGGTGGGACGGGGCGTGGCGGTGCCTACGATACCGCCAAGCCGCCCTCAGCAACGCTGGGCAACGGCTCCCGCGCTCCTAGGAACCGCCCGCCCCCACCCCTGGCAGCGGCTGCTGGTGCTGGCTCCGCCTGCCCCCCCCCTGCAGACCTGCTGGCTGCAGCCGGAGCTCCTGGAGTGACAGAGCGGGCGTCAGGAAGAGGAAGGGCGCGCTTCCGAGAAGTGTTGGGCAGATTCCAAGCGAGCCTTTCAGACGTCATTTTAAAAATTAAAATCTCCGTCTGCCGTATCAGGCATCTTAATGAGAAATTCTTAAGTATTTGTCCCAAATAATTCTATAATTTTTCCCGAGTGACATTTGTAAGGTAATTTTAGACACAAAGCAATTAATTCTGCAACGTTAAGATCGTCTTACGTGATGATTAAAATTTTCACAAATAATTTTAATTCCTTTTATGCTTTAAAATAGAACATACACTGATTCGATAAGAGATATTAATTTATTCCTTTGTGGTATGATACGAGTATAGATTGAATTCTTGAATTAATTTTAATACCGGAATAAGCGATTCACTAAAATCGCGATTTAAAAAAAAAGCATGTATTCATCATTAACATTTTTAGATGCATTGTTTTACTTCAGTTGACATGGTTTTTTAATATCTTCTCACTTTAAAACATTATTCGTACTGTAGCTCATTAGGTCGGACAGAATTAAAATCCTTCAGCAAATACTTTTGCACCATCCAGCTACACTCCTTCTCCTAATCAATAATATTATTCACATCTCTTGAAGGAATTCGATGTGATGCTGCCTCTTTATTATTATTATTATTATTATTATTATTATTATTATTTTCATTATTATTATTATTTTCATTATTATTATTTGGTACTCAAGTGTCAGATCATGGATCCTGATCTTCTCGGTAACCGTCAACATCTTCTGAGAAGGAATGGTACAATTCTAGCAATATAGCTACTACACTGATTTTAATATTATCCGTAAAAAATTGTATTTCAGCTGTTGCAGCACCGTCTGAAGAATCACCACAAACAATTTTGTTGCGAAACGGTCGTTGTGATATAGAAACGATGAAACACGAAAAAACATCGTGACGCAATGCGCTTATTTGCGGGGTTTATCTGGAGTTCAAGAATAAGATGATCTTTATGCAACATCATAACCGAGATGGGTCACATAAAACAACTCAAAACATGAGAGTCATACCCGTGGGAGACAAATACCATTCGGGATACACGTCATCAAATAAAAAAATTAGAAAAGAGTGATACAGAGGGTTCCGATAATCTAAGAAAACCTACATTATCGAAGCCTGTTACACGCATTCTCATATAGAAGAAGTTCACGACTACTTACAAAGATAAAACGATATTCAACAATCGTTTCGAATCCAAAACAAAACCTCCTGGTGATCTTTTCAGGGCGACTTGGAAGTTCTTCGCGGAGTTTCACAAGAAAGTTACGTATATGAAAAGTAATGGAAATTTAAATGCGGAAACTTGAGAAGATTCAGAAGATATCAGTTCAAAAGAGACAATAGGAGCTCGCTCATCATTTTTTTCATTAGTATTAAAAAGAAAAGATGCTGAAACGCTTCGTAGTACAAAACTTGTAGAAATCCTCAGTTTTTAGCGAATATGATGCGCGAAATAACTGTTTGTTGTAATACACGAGATGCTGAATAAAAAAATAATAACTTGAGCATCGAGTTTCCAATAATTTAACAACTTGTAACGTGAAAAGTCTCGTGAAACTCACATTGGAAACAAATACTAAAACAAAATATTTATTTAATAACCCTCCCTTCCCAGTTATTTTAGAACGAGAAAGCAACGAGTTTTCTTTAACGATACAAATATTATGAGAGAAAAGTCATTGAGCGATATGTCAATATGAAATTAAACAAAACATTGTATAATACTATTCTGAATAGAAATTTGGTGTTTTTTTAAGAGATTCCAGCACATAACTCAAAAGATTTTTAGACGGTTAATTCATTTTTGAACAGGCCAATTAAAACTGAACAGTTTCATTCACAAACCGATCCCAAGTGACAGCGACTCTCATACCAATTACTTTGCAAATTCTCGCCCGGCAGGTTGCAAGACAGCTGCGTCGTGGAGAACTCTGCCTTTGGAAGCCGTCAGATTATGAAAAAGTAGTTTCTAATGAAAGGGAAGAGTCAGTATTAAGAGAAGGCCACATCTTTTTATTTTAGTTTTCTGTGGAATTTTCCCAAAACGCAATTGGGAATTCTCAAGTTTCCGCAATCAACTACAGTAGACATTAAATAAAAAAATGTGAAATGAAACCTTTCACGTCTAAAAAAACTTAAGAAACGGTCTTTATATTCCATCGCATCGTTCAAGTTCCTTTAAGAGTATTTGTATACATATGATCCTAAATAGGGAAACGTTTAAAGTGAAAATCTTCGAGAAAGACGAATGATTGCTGACACTTCTCATCTGAAGAAATACCTTACAAAAACTTGGCGCGTTCCAAAACCAGTATCATTGTTCTCTGATCAGTGGACGTTCTATAAACCAATATTTAACGATATATGTTCTATAAACCATATATCTAGAAAACCAATATTTAAAATATTGTCCGTTTTCTTCGGTATTACAATTAGGACACAAACGAAACCTTTGGCTAACGACTGCCTTTTTTGCATGCACGCGTTGTTCCTGCATGGCAGGAGCGAGGGGGCGAGCACTCACAGTTCTCCTGGCTCTTGAAGCCCAGCGCCTGCGGCTGCGTCTCCACCACCTGCTTGATCTCATCGATGACGATGCGGGTGATGGGCGCCAGCAGGCTGGGAGGGCAGTTCCTGCAACACAACACGGCGCTCATTCGCTTGGCCTTGCTCTTGGAAAACACATTCACCATTCCCTTCAACAGACAGACATATAAACAAACACGCGCGCGTAGCAATACACATAGCCCTAGATAAGGCATTTTACGGCCACCTTAATACACTTCAAAACATGAATAAGAACGTACACATGTGTAGGATATGCAAATACGTATAACGAAGTTTGTAACAAAATTCACGTCAATATTTCGGAAAGTTAAGCAATAAAAGAACACATGCGTACACCGTGCACTTCATTCCAAAAACGCCATGCTTTTCTTTCAGCCGAATCTTAATTAAACGATTCAAAGGCGAGAGGTGCTGCAGTTAGGTGACCCCTTCTCTCAACTATCCATCGAGAAAAAAAAGCTGAATATTTGTTTTATTTTACTTGTTTTCGTGGGTTTCTGAGTGGGCATTAGAGAGATTCGGGACATAAGTAATATGAAAAAAAGAAATTAGCTCTGCGGTCTGTGTACATACTTGAACCCACAAAGAGCACTAGGGGTAACGGTGGCACTTTACATCTTTTAATTTAACAAGGATCAAAACTGACGCTCGCATCTCCACTGAGGTTCCTTTTAAGTTGAAGCATAAAACGAGTGGTGCCCAAAAGCGCATGCGCCCCTTTGATGCTCCTTTTTCATCCCATTTCCCGAGCTTCCACGGGGCGCGGAGGTGCCTCGGCGCTGAGGCCTCTGGGTCCTTCGGGTTACGGGAGGCGGGGAGGTGGGAGGGAGTGTGAGGGGGCGGGGTGGGGTGGGGGCGCAGTGCGGGAGGCAGGCGCAAGGCGGCCGTGACGCCCTTACTCGCCACGCGACGGAGACGCTTTAAATAAGTAAAACAAAAAGCGCATTACGCCCCAGTTGCCCCTAACGAGAGCGCACTTTGCTGGGCCCGACAGCCCGCGGCGTCGTGGCTGCAGTCGCCGACGCGTTCTAAGGAGAGGTTCAACACCGGGGCCTCCGCAAGGCGAACTTTTTCAGAGTTGTGCTTTTTTCGACTTCGAACAAGGGTAACTAATGAAGCAAGATTTCTAGAGACTGGCTTGTTTTACTGGAGATTTATCCGTCTACTTCCAAAGGACACCAGGTAGACTTTCAGGTTCAAGGGTGTGGCAATTCGTTCTCTTGCATAGTTATTTAAAAATAGTTTCTTGTTTTTCTTTTTTAGAATGAGCTTAGGTTTTTCTGTCTGAATGGAATGGAAGTAACACGCCGGCCAAAAGTATGTGTAATCACAGGCGTATAATTGTAGACACGCCCAAGTAGATATCGTATCACCAACCTGCACTGACAACAGATTATGACTCAAAACATACCTTTAGACTTTTCCTCCATTTAAACAGATTGATCACATAAATTAATTTATGTTAAAGGCTCGAAGAAAAGAGAATTACAGTTTAATGTGTGAAAATGGAAAGAAGAACGTTCTGGTTTCTATTCACCAATCGACACCTACCATCAAATCCCCAAAGTCCTTTTGTAGTACAAATACATCGCCCCGTAGGTGAGCTCATCACTCTGATTCAAGGAGCGGAGACGAAGGCGTAGGAGTAGCTTTAAACGAAGCAAATGGACCCACGAAGGAGATGCGGCACCCGGCAATTGTTATGATTTACGACGGCAGCGCTGCACTTCGCGACTCATGACGCTAAAAATACGAACAGCCTTGGAGCCAGTTCAACTCATTTGCACCCCGCGCTGTACGCCAAGCAGCTTTTTCGCACCCACTCATTTGCGTATGTATCCAAACAGAACTCAACTATCCCACTTTAGTTTACTGAAACCGAAATGATTTAATGCAAAATATATCTACCAAACTAGAGATCATTTTAAGAACTTTTGTGTACAATTGTGTATATATATTCACATTGCAAAACGGGTGAACAGTTACGTCTTCAACAACTCCAGTCTTCATTCGATTACTTACAACTACAGTACTTAATTGATTTAGCACACATCTACAATTCTTATTCGATTTTACTAGGATTTAATTAACTTGCACTTGACGCAAATCAACTGTTCACGGTTTCATCCAATCGGGAACTTAAACGTCCCAAGTAGTGTACGTCAATATAGCGATATATAAGCTCTCGATTGGATGAAAACGAAACAGCTGATTTACGTCCAGTGCACTACAAAATAAATCGTACTATACCAACGAACTAAAAATTTCCAAGAGGTTGACATAGGTAGGTAACCGGTCACAATCTAAATGGCTTCCTTCGGCTTCCCTGCGACGAGAGCGCAGCACCGCACGGGGCGCCCTCTCACATGTCCCGTTGCTGCGGGACTGGCTTCTGCCACGCCCACTCGTCGGCACGTGGCTGCCGCGCCGCGCCGGGCCGTCACCTGGCGCAACGCAGCGCAACGTGCGCTCCTCCGCCTGCCCATTAGAGGCACGAGCACACGTACAGGAAGTTGTACTCCAGCGGCGGTGCCGACGACGACGGACGTATTAACTCGTCCGCGCCCTTCCTCGCTGTGACACATAGCGAGGCTGGCGGAGGAAGCGAGGGTGGCGGTGTCGTGAGACTCAAGAAATGGCCCGCCTTTCATGTTCAGAATACCTGAGAGAATGCCGCAGGATGTATGTATGTATGTATATATTTATGTATGTGTGTCTGTGTGTGTGAGAGATATTGGCTCAGGGGTCTTAAATTTCTTAGGTCATTAATTGTGCAAGAGAAGGTTAAATCCCGGAAGGTGGGGATGTACTTTGCCCGCTGGAACGTGAAATCTACAAGGCGACTTGCGGGGTATTTCTCCCTCCAGGCATCTCCTCAGTGGGGCACCGTCCCAATCTGGACAATCTCTTATCTCTCGGCTGAATTACCGAAGCCGAATCCTGGCCCGTCTTTGTGAAAAACTGACGACACATTTGAGAATATATTTCTTTCGGAGTTAGGAATTCTCCAAGAGCACATTCCACCAATGCGCCATCATTAATCACACAAAATTAACTATCAATTTATTATTAATATTTATTATATTATTAATTATATTATATAAATAGTATAACATGAAATAATGTAAAAAATGACACAAAACGATACGAAAAGAAAACTTCCTAAGGCTACGACGATCGGCCAAGTTAACACAAAAAAAGACGATTTGGGTCGTCGTCAGAAAAAAAGGTGGAGGGCGGTGCCGGATTATGGCGTGGCTTTTATGACCTGGCAACACGAGAGCTCTCAGAACAAAAAGCGGGAAAATGCTTGATGATCAAGATTACAGAATGTATGCACTCATTTGCCTTCGCAGGGGAATGGGGGATGAAATATTAATTCTGATATAAAAATGCACGCCTTGGCACGTAAAGAATTAGACCAGAGGGGTGTTTTTAAGTTTTTCTTTTTTTTTTTTATTAAAAGCGTTCATTTAATTTGCACTTTGTGTCAAATCTCATCATACATTTTCTAAATTAGATTTATGAAACTTTACTCATGTAAATAACATCAATTAAAATTCGTGTTTTCTTCCTTTTGGAGGAGAGGGGGTTGCCGTAGTATTACCGACATGAAATGTAAGTAAAACATTTATTTTAAGTTCCAAAATGATTAAATTTTGAAGCTGGATTAGCAAAACTCAGACACTCAGAATCTCCATGACGATACGATGTTAATCTTTAATTATTAATATAATTCACTAAAAGAGTGTAATAACAATTACCATAATCACCCAGCAAACACTTCAATTTACGATTTAGAAGGTATTCTCCAAGGGAATAAGAAAATACACAATATGATAAACACGCTTTTTGAATTATTATACATAATTATTATTGCTGACGTCTCGTGAAGTATCGGAGGGTCTGAGAGGCAGGCGAGGGGGCGTGGGCGTCCGACGCGGGCGGAAGCGGGCGCGGGGCCTCGAGGCGGTCGAGTCAACAACGGGCGACTTCCCTCGCGTGACCCCGGCACGCGCCGCGCGGCGGTCACTCCGCGGCGCACGGCAGCCACTCGACGCGCCGCCGGCCCTGCCGTGGGCGCACGCAACGCGTGAGCCGCAGCGCCCGCGCGCGCTTTCGTGGAAGCGGCGCCACCTGCCACTTCCGACGAAGCCGCGCCGCACCGCGCGGGAGGTCAGCGGGAAATAATGATCGGCGCCGCTTTGTGCTCTGTGAGGGCGGAAGCAGAGCGGACTCATAATCGCGGGTTCGTTACGTCATCTGCATGACACAAAACACGACGAACTTTTAGATCCCGTGACGGGGAATATCGAACAAAAATGTTCCGTCGGCCAAGGGTAGCGAATCCCCGCCAGTTACGACGTAAGAGGTGAAAAACTCCGAAGAATCAGCATGTTTGCCCTCAGAAAAAATGGTTACGATATTCACACACTTTTAAAATACAGGGGAAAATGCATACGTTAAGAAAAAAATGCAGGCCCACGAGACCAACTACGAGTCCATAATAAGACTCCACCAGTCTATTCACCTTGAAAGCCACTCCAACTTAGCATTCGTCAGCAAGAGTCATCATTTATTCTTCCTCGCGTCTTCGCATCAACACTCGCCCGTCTCCAAGTACGGCCACAATGAGCAAAACACGCAATAATCATCCGCGAGGAAAGAAATATCAATAGGCTGCTAACGGCGATGAGTCGTCCCGAGGCGGTGCGTCGGGGCAGAGGGGGGCGTCTCAGGATGGGAAAGAACATGCGTCAACAAGCGCCTCTCTGGCGTCGTGTCCCGATGCTCGGACACGAGTGCGTGGGCTGCCAGTCGGAAGGGAATGGATGGCGCTTTCTCCCAGGCAATTCCTAGTGCCATGCATCACTTCGCTTCTCCTGCCCCACAAACCATTACACTGCAGCAACATAGTGGTTTCCACCCACAGAAAATTACAATATGGACAATATTACAAGATGAACAGAAAATATGGTTAATGAAACAATGCAATGATAGTGTCCTAAAAATATCAACACACTACATGTTAGGATTTAATGAAAACCCTTAATATTAGCAGGTACATGAAAACTCGATTTTATTTCGAACTTTTTTAAAGTACTACTTCACTTTTGATGGGATTTACTCGTAGATATTTGAGCTTATGACTCTGCGTCGCCAAACCCAGACCCAGAGGTTTCGTTGAGATTCATCGTATGATGCGCCCCCAATAATCGCATTTCGATGCGTACCTATAGGTCGCCAATCGATTCGTTCGTCGCTCAATTTCATTCCGAACCGCCAAAAGGAGAACGCAGCGCGCGAAGGGGCGCATTCGTTTCCGCTGCTCGCGCACACACGCCGCGAGCCCGGCGCCCATCTGTCTTCATTGGCGATCGTTCCGAGTTCGCCGGGGCGTCCTCGCGCTATTTGTCAAAGGGCGCCGGCAAGCACAGTCCACTCCCGACGAAGACCCCGGGCGCGGGGGCAGAGGGAGGAAGGAGAGGAGAGGCTAGGGACAGGCGGCGCGGATGCCCGGCGGGTTGCCGGGGGTGGGCGGGCCCAGGGGCGATGGACGGAGGCGAGGGTGAGGTCCGGGTCGCGGACGGAGCGGAACAGCGGTGACGAAGCGCGGGGTCGGGGCGCAGGAGAAGGGGAGGCGATCGGAGGAGAGAAGATGCGAAGGAAGGGGCAGGCGCCGCGGAGGACGTGCAGGTTTGTAACAGTTCAGCCCCTCGTTTGGTGCTACGCTTCCGGACCGCTCCGTGAGTGTATAGCCGCACGCGTGGCTGCGGCGTCGACGGCGCTGAATCACAGGCGGGCGGCCGGCAGGGATTGTGTCGGGCTAAGGTTGCCGGCTCTCCCTCACGACAGCGCGCGCCGCGTCGCATCTCGCCGACCGCCATTGCGCTTGCGGAATGCTATACGCAAGTCACGTGACTACGCTATCTACAAGGATGAAAAGCAATTTCTTCGAATTTTCACACCACTAAGGTCACAATTCTGTACTCTGAAAGGAGGAAAATACGCAACTAAACTCAACAGAAAAAGATATTTATATAATAAGACTATTTCTGTAAAACAAAGAAACCTCATGTTTAGTTTCTTTTTCTGACCGGAATTGGGATTTTCCGTCTACTATTATTTATTTTGATATACCAGTACAGAACACATGAGACATTATTTTAAAGTAAATCTGTCACCGCTTCGAATAGCGTCAGCAAAATGAAAACAAGAATCATATGCTCTTTTCACGATTGTTGCTTTTACGTTCATTGTTTATTCTTTCCTTTTTGTTCTTCAAAAGAACCGCATTGCACCGCATCAATGCACCGGTATCAATGTTCAGCATTACCTAATTTTTCACTTTATTAAACAAAATTTTCTTTCATAGTGACTTGAAATAAATAGATGGCAACAATGATTTCGAATATATAAAAACATTGTATGTTGAACAATATAAATTTTAATTCGCTCGTAGTCAATTGTGAATTTCAGGCTTTAGAATCACTGACACGAAGTTGTAAAATAATATAAAAGCAGGCTACAAATTCTTCGTGTCCCAATTGCGTGAACTGAGAACGTGAACGCAGGAATGAAGTGCTGGCTGCCTTATCTGAAAAGACGAACGCCGTGCCACAACTTTCCTTCCGTTGCGGACTTACAAAACTACTGGGAGGCTCCGCTTGATGTGCGTACCACCCACGGACAGCTCCGTGACGTAGCACAAGATAAACGCAGCTCCGACCTCGCACTACACTTTGGTAAAAGTTGCGGCAGACACACGATCACGCAATTGAAAAAAAATACTAAAGAAGAATAGGACATTTTAATTACCACTCAGTTAAATACGATATATTTAGTTCGCATTATAAACCTATTCTCTATCCCCCATCCCATTGCCACGACTACTACAATGTATTTGTTCCGAATTTTTTTATCTATGGTAAAATAAAGATTGAAAAATAATATTACGATTCAAAATCTCATTTCTAATATCAAACTGTTCGAATTGTTAATAAAAATGATAATGAAACAAAATCTTGGAGTACAAAATAAAGATTAAGAGAAATTTTGTGGGATGCCCCCATGAACTCAATATGTATCACTGACAGCACCAATGTAAATAGAAATATATGCACGGAAAATAACAATACCGAGGAAATTACGTATAACAGAATACTCTTGTAACTTCAGCACGCACAAAATCTGATCAAGGCGGTAAATACAAATGAACTCGTATGAAGGCGTTCAGAGAGGCACATGACATCAACATGTTACAATATGCTTGCGCCCAACTTTAAATCAGTTTCGGATTGAATCAACCTGCCATGTCAGCTCTCCTCATCTCATCACTGTTATACAATCTAATTAATACGTTAAATTCGATCGTACTCTCAGAGAGATTCGGATTAAATTCGACCTAAAACAATGGCCGATGTCGTTTCATACGCATATACCATCTCAAATCGTTCTCACACTGCTTTTTCCTTCAGCACGTGTC